ATTCCAACACAGTAAGTCTAAAGTGGAACTTTGCAAATAATGACTTACCACAATTTCAAATAAAGACAGGCAGCTTAAATATACAATACAATACAATACAATACACAATACTTTATTGAAAACACCACAACACAGAACAGAAATGAGGGAAATTACAATTGTAAAAAAAAGAGTGCTTCAATGGGCGGTCTTATCGCTAAAAGCGATTTCTTCCAGACAACCTTTGGATGGAGAGGATTGAAAGAAAGCTAGAGTCGGCGGTGTCAGTAAAAGAAACAAGGTATATGAACGAATTTATGAATTAAATATACATATTATATATACATACATATATACATATTATACAATACATAGACTACACATATATAAGTTTAGTCCAGTCAGCAGAGATAAAAATGCAGCTACATAGACAAAAAGTGATTTACAACTAGATTTTTAAAGACATTAATAGATTGCGCTTGTCTTATGGATACAGGAAGAGAATTCCATAGACGTACAGCTTGGACGTTAAAAGAACGACCATAGAAGGTCGTGTCATGAATAGGAATCTTTAGGGTTAAATTTTCTGATGACCTTAGAGATAACGCATTGGAATTATGAAGGTAATTAAAGCATTCCTTGAGATAGCGCGGGGACAAAGGATTGAACAATATATTGTAAAGAAGTGTGAGGATGTGAGTATTCCGGCGAAGGCGAATAGGTAGCCACTTGAGCTGTGATCGAAATTGAGATACATGGTCATATTTGCGTAAGCAGAATATAAACCGAATGCAGAAATTTTGAAGTCGCTCAAGCTTGTTTAGCTGGTCCTCTGTGAGATCAGGATAGCAGGCGTCAGCGTAATCAAGAATAGGAAGTAGCAGAGACTGTGCTAGGGCAATTTTGGTGGCAATTGGAAGGAAATTACGGAGTCTCTTCAGCGAAGCTGCTGAAGCAAACAATTTTCGGCTAACAGCTTGTAACTGTGGATCCCAACTGAAACGGTTATCGACAATTATTCCTAAATTTTTAACAGATACACTAAATGGAATACTGGTGCCAGCAAGAGTTACGTTAGGAAGTAATTGCAAATTCACTTTGGCAATCAACCTTGAGCTACCTATAATGATGCATTGTGTTTTGGAGGGATTTATCTCTAGTCCAAAGGATTTGCTCCACTCTACAATATGTCGCAAATCATTATTGGTGGCCAGTATTGCTTCAGATAATTGATCATGATATAAATTTGAAGATCATCTGCATACAGGTGGTAGGAAGAAGAAATATTTTTGGAAGTAGAATTAATAACTATAGCGAAAAGAAGAGGAGATAGAACGCCGCCTTGGGGAACACCAGCGGAAGTGTCGCACCATGAGGAAAAAATCTCATCGAGGCGAACCCTCTGCCTGCGCTCCTGCAAATAACTGCGAAACCACTCAATCACCGATGGAGATACGTTAAGCGAGCGCAGCAACGCCAGAAGAATGTCAAAATTAATAGTGTTGAAGGCATTGCTGAAGTCCAATAATGTCAGTACCGTTAGGTGACCTTGATCCATCCCAAGGCGAATGTCATCTGTGATTTTCAAGAGGGTAGTCGTGGTACTGTGCCCAGGGCGGAAACCAGATTGGAGAGGGTTTAAAAGGTCATGACGAGACAGGAATGTATTTAATTGGTTATGAACCAGACGTTCGAGGACTTTAGATAAGAAGGGAAGGATAGAAATAGGCCTAAAATCGGCAAAAGATTGAGGATTGGATTTTTTGGGCAAAGGGATGATTTGGGCTTCTTTCCAAGCCGATGGAAAAACAGCGTTTGCTAAAGAGCTATTAAAAAGAAAGGTAAGTATAGGAAGGATTATATCTAGGAGAGGTATCAGCATATTACGACTTATGCTATCATTACCTACCGCATTGGAAGATATGGATAGCATGCCCTTCCTAACGTCACATTCGGTGAATTGAGTAAAGACAAAAGGTGAGTAGTCAGGAACTGGTAAAGATGAAAGAAAATTTAAAGTATTAGTCTTGTGTGAATCACTAAGACTAGACGATGAAGAGAAGTGAGTATTAAGTGAATTTATATCAACGTTACTAGGAATAGACTTTTGACGAGATTTACCAATTCCAAGTGACCTAAGAAAGTTCCACACTTTAGAAGGATCATTATTACTGACAGAAGCATGAATATGGCGACGTAAAGCATCCCTACACACCATGTTGCAGTGATTACGAGCCTTGACATAATTAGTTTTATTGGAGTCTGTCGGACGAATTTTATATTTACTCTTAGCTACGTTCTTCTTGAGCATCAATGCTTTTATATCTGGTGTTAGCCAAGGTGCTGGATGGTGCTTAAGTTTAATGGGACGAAACGGTGCATGTTTATCGTAAAGTGAGGTTATTATATTATTAAAAGCAGATACTTGTTCGTCCACAGTCACGGCATCAGTCACCAACGACCAGTCGACTCCATGCACGTCTTTGAGAAACGCATCCCGATCCATACCACCAAAATTCCGCTGAAGAATGACTTTGGGCTTGGACTTAGGAGGACGGATCTTGTATGATAAGAAAACCAAGTCATGATATGAAAATGCATCCGCCGAACATTGACCATGTTTCATAACACGTTGAGGAGAAGACACTATTAATAAGTCTAGAAGTGAAGGAGTAGTATTTGGGAAATGATGAGTAGCGCTAAGTGGAAGGATGTGTAAATTACATGAACTGACAACGGATTGGAGGGAGGTGGCACGAAAATCACCTTTCAAAAGACAAGTGTTGAAGTCACCCATGATCAGGGAATGGTCGTAAGAAGGGACGCAATCTTCTAAAAGCTGTTCAAAAGAACTGAAAAAGTTTACAGTTAAGGAAGGGCTGTAGTAGACTCCGAGGAGGACTTTCGTGTGTGAGAGAAGTATCTCAACGAACAAATGCTCGCCAGCATTAGTTGGAGGAGGCTGTGTGGAGAAGCTAATGACAGTATAGGGAATTTCAGTACGCAGATAAATAGCAACTCCACCACCTCGAGAACCAACACGGTCGTTGCGTATTAACTGGAAACCAGGTAAAGAATATGAAGTAGAAGGTAGTGAAGGTTTAAGCCAGGACTCGGAGACTAAAACGGCATGAAGATTTTTATTGTCAAGAGACGCCAACATATCAGTGTAGTGAGCCGGAATACTTTGCGCGTTGATATGAACCACGTTAAAATTTCTAGGTACATCAGAAAACTGGTTATCAAGGTATTCAGAGAGAGAGGGTATACTAACAAAACTACTGCTAGTGCTGCCGCTAGCTGGTGATACAGATTGGAAAAAATCATCATCACTATCTATTTCCAAACTGGACATACAATTTAAGCTTATATACTTAAAAAATAAATAAATAATATATAATACAAATAAAGATAACAAATATATAACTATTACACAAAACTAACTGTCTATTGGCTCCACCTGCCGGTTGAGTGGAATAAAAAAAAAATCAAAAATAACATGATGATTTAAAATAAGACTAGAACAGAACGCATAATCATAACAAAACGCAATTAGATTACACATATAAACTTATAAATTAATGTCGGAATATTTACAGCACTATCTGCGGATCCAAACCAAAGTTACGTTAATTTAATCGAAATACAATTTTTAAAACTTACAAGGCTGTACAGAACTAAGATCTTATGCTATAGGTTAAGAACAAAAAGTAAAATGGAAATGTCATTGTCATAGTCGGTACGTCTAATAAAATGTTTGAGGTTAGCACAAGAAAAATAAGCTTAGCGTTTTATAAAAATTACACCCTCATTTTATAATAATTGGCTTAATACCGACACAACAGGGTGCTATGATAGCGGACAAGCAACTAATTTTGAAACATGCAAATAATGAGAAACTTGAAAACAAACACTGAACAAGAAGATAATAGTTATCAAAACAAACTTATTTCTTGCTTGCCGCACGTCTGGTCTTGGCAATGTTGGAAGATACTGAAACTGCAGGCTTTGGTGACTCGACTCTGGCCACTGCTGGTGCTGGGTTCTTATTCAGCTCGGGCGACTCGGATCTCGTCACTACTGGTGCCGGGAGCTTGTTCGGCTTAGGCGACTCAGCTCTCACCTCTTTTGGGGCTGGGATATTTTTCAGCTCGGCCAGATTGCTGATTCTGTGTCGCTTACCGTCACCTCCAATGATAAACACATAGCCCATCCGCGTGAAACATTTATTTATACCGAACAGCTCTCGTGCAGCTATGAAAGCATCATGCCTATTTTTTGTGAGAAACTCCGTTAGTGTCAGTCCCGTGCCCTTCAGAGAGGTTTTGCTGAACCACATTTTGTTTCGAACGGCCAATTCTCTTAGCTTTACCACAATTGGCCGTGGACGATGACCTGTAGAAGAGCGACCCATCCGATGGCAGCGACTAATATCTTTAGAAGAGAAGGTCGACAGCCCCAGCTGACTGGTGACAGCCCCCACAACAGCAGCTGTAACATTCTCCTCAGATGACTCCGGCAGACCATGGAGTAGGAGTATCTTCCTGCGGCTATGCATCTCCAGGCTGTCAACCTGATGAGCCAGCAGGTTCATCTGATCTTGAAGGCTTTGAATGGAGGATATGATGAAACTCCTAAATGTTGTGAAGTCTGCGGCCAGGCTGGAAACAGTAGCTGATGGAGTAGCAGCCTGTAGCTCACTCTGGTAGGCATCCATCCGTTTCGTGAACATATTTTGCAGTTGAGAAAGTGTTTCCTGTATGCTGTCCATTATGTTGATGGAGATAATCAGTGTTGATGATAATAAATAATGAGGATAACACTCGCCGGCAGGTACAGTGCACTATATATTAATTTGGCATAAGAATAACAACCGTTGATTTATTATTTGTATTTAAATAAATAATTTTAATTAAGAGAGACTTTAATACACCTTCTTTTCCAACTACCCACCGGGAAAAAAAAAGAAATATACCATCTCATATAAATTTTGTTCAACCTTTTTGGCAACTAGAAGCTTAGTTGAATTAGCCAATCGTTTCAAAAATAAATATCCACTAGTTAGCAAGGCACTACTATACATATACACGGTGTTTCAAAATAACCCAAAAAAAATAATATTATTTATAGAAAAATCATAATTAAAATGTCCCATCTCTAGTAATCAGCCGCTAATGTCATTCAACCCAAAATTGTCATTTAAATCATAGATTATCAATTTTCAGACTTGTTGAATTTGCTAAACATTTGTACCTTTGCTTCCATAACAGGTGTAACAAGTAAAAAAGTTTATAAAAGTGAACCCCTCCATGGAAAAAAATCATAAAAGAAAGGAATGATCAATTACAAGACTCCTCCTATTTATTAAAGTCTGTTAAAAAACTTGTGTTATCCAGGTTATTGTAAAGAATCAATAGACACCTTATTAATGAAAATAAGATGAAATCTTTAAGTGCTACGTTTAAATACGTAAAGGACAATGGGCAAAACGCACCCAGCTCCGCCAACAATGTAATTAGTATGAATCGATAGATCTATGAAAAACTAGCCTTTTTTATTATGACACCGAAAATAAATATCCTGGGAGTCAAAAGATATGACACCGTACTATAACGAACAGAATGTTTAAAAAAAACCCAACCCATGCGGGGATTTTTGGATTTACTCTAGCGCGACAGAATAACATAAGGGGGCACCCTTGCACTTTGTGAAGTACTCCCATAATTCCAGAGCACCCTATGTAGGGTCGAACTAACTAACTAAAAAAATCAAACCGACTTCAAAAAAAAAAACACAAACGACAAAAACAGACAATAGCAGTATTTACATAACTAAAAAGCGATAAATAACCTAATTTATTCACTTAATGCATATTATATATCTACAATTATTTAAATATTTACAACTTAATACCTAATACTTTAACAAAGTCTTCTTTAACTATTTAAATATTTACAGTTATCACTTATTTTTGAAGTCGGTGCCAGCCAAACAAATAAATGTAATTAAGAAAACTGACCGACATTAAAATTCAAAGCAAAACTAAGAATAGGAAATTGCATAAGCGCGCTGAAATAATTTATTAATGGAAGCGACCGTCAACGACGTCTGCCCTCACGCGTCTGCCCGCGTTCGGGTGGCACACTCAACCGGCTGACCCCGCGCCCCGCGCCCCAGGCGCACCTTCTCCTTGGTGTGTGTGGTTTTGCGTTTGCTTACCGGCCCAGGGCCGCGCGCCTCAGTCAAACAGCACCACAGATGTCGGTCAGTTTTCTTAATTACATTTATTTGTTTGGCTGGCACCGACTTCAAAAATAAGTGATAACTGTAAATATTTAAATAGTTAAAGAAGACTTTGTTAAAGTATTAGGTATTAAGTTGTAAATATTTAAATAATTGTAGATATATAATATGCATTAAGTGAATAAATTAGGTTATTTATCGCTTTTTAGTTATGTAAATACTGCTATTGTCTGTTTTTGTCGTTTGTGTTTTTTTTTTTGAAGTCGGTTTGATTTTTTTTTAAAAAGTCCATTTATTTCTCGATTTTTAGTTGTGTTAATGCGTTTTGAACTAAAAATAGATGCTAGTTCATTTACTTAGGGTTAGGGTTTCAATTTATTTAATATATAGTCACTAATTAATACGTTCGTTTGACGAATCGTTCATATTTTTTAGGAAGCTATAATTGTTATTAATACGTACTTACTTTGAAGAGTTTGATAATACTTATTAGGTATTAAAAATTTTTTTATTATCATGGGTAGACCCACTAAGGCTGCAGCCCGAATGAGGGCAAATCGTCACCTGGAAAGTATTGCAGAAAATAAGAAACGTCTTTCCAAAAATTGCAAGCGAAATGTTATATCTCGTTCCCAAGAATCGCCTCTGGCCCGTCAAGTGAGATTATCTCAGATGAGAAGTTATATGCGTTCTCAATTATCGCAAGAGTCAACAGAACAACACCAACAACGTTTAGATTTTATTAGAAAACGATTAAGTAATGAAACTCCAATACAGCGTGAACATCGTCTCGCTGTTATTCATGAAAGACTGAGTAATGAAACTCCAGTACAGCGCGAACATCGTCTCGCTGTTATTCATGAAAGACTGAGTAATGAAACTCCAGTACAGCGCGAACATCGTCTCGCTGTTATTCATGAAAGACTGAGTAATGAAACTCCAGTACAGCGCGAACATCGCCTCGCAGTTATTCATGAAAGACTGCGTAATGAAACTCTGGAACAACACGAACATCGTTTCGCTGTTATTAATGAAAGGCTGAGTAATGAATCCCCGCAACAACGCGAACAACGAGTCAATGCTATGCGTGAACGTACTAGGAACGAACTTCCTTACCAACGGACTCAAAGACTAAATTTAATGAGACAACGAAATCTTGAGGTAAGGCGAGTAGAAAATGAGGAGCAAAGAAGAGAACGCTTAGAGAATATGCGGGAAAGTACCCGCAGAATTCGATATATCGGAGAAGATAGTTTCCTATCTACCATTAATGAATTTGCTGATGTTCCATGTGGTGTATGTAGAAAACTATTATATCCGAAGCAGAGATGCCGGCTAGAAACCTCATGTCGACAAGATTTATTGCCTGGTGAGTTGGTAGAAATGAGCAACATTGTAGTATGTTCGCGATGCTCTACTAACCTGAGGAAACGTAAAGTACCTTCCCAAGCGTATTGGAATAAAATGGATGTGGCGCCAATACCACCTGAAATTGATAGTTTGTCAGATGTAGAGCAACGCCTACTTACAAGAATAATTCCATTTCTAAAAATTATTAAAATACAAAATAGGTTCAGCCAAAATTGGTGCAAAGGTCAAGTGGTTTTATTTGCACAAGACATAGTGGAAATTGCTGAGCAATTACCACTATATAAATTAGATAATCGATTTCAAAGAAACGATTATTTGTTTTTTGCATTGTCTGTTGTGGAATATTTTAGAGCCAAAGCAAGCGTTTCGGTCTCGTGTCGAATGAAGCAAGGTGAGCATACACCTCAAGGTCTTGTTGATAATATGCATTTGACAATGAGAAACATAAGAGGATCGGCTGCATACTGGAAAAAATGTTGCGCGGAATTGATAGCCATGGTGCGGAGCCTCGGTCCTCCAACTTGGTTCGTTACATTTTCATGTAACGATCTCAACTGGCCCGACATGATCAAAGCGTTACTCATAGCTGATGGACGTCCTGACGCAATGTCTGACAATGTTGAAAACTTGTCATTTGATGTAAGACTCGGGTTGGTACAAAAATATCCAGTTGTAGTGGCTAGACAGTTTACGCTTAGGGTAAACGCTTTGATAAGATTTCTTAAAATGAATAGTGAATGTTTAGGAGGAGCTATCACAGATTTTTGGTACCGCATTGAGTTCCAAAATAGGGGAAGTCCCCATTTACATATGCTTTTGTGGTGCAACGCTGTACCTAATTTTGATAGTCCTGAAGGGCTTCGAGTAATCGATCAGGTGGTGTCATGCTCACTTAATGGTGATAATGCTGAGCTGGTAAAAAGGTTACAAATTCACAAACATTCCACAACCTGCTATAAAGATCGTAATACTGGTTCGTGTCGTTTTGGATTTCCAAGGCCTATAAGTAACGCAACGGTCTGCTTAGAACCCGATGACGCTCTTCGCAATAATGGCCGTTTTTGTGTACTACAACGAAATACAGAAGAAGTTATGGTTAATAACTATAACTCGGTTCTGCTTAAAATTTGGGGAGCAAACATGGACATACAGCCTTGTGGGAATGTAACAGCTGTTGCTTATTATATTGCCAAGTATGCGAGCAAGTGTGAACCCAATGATTGTGGCGATGTTGTGAGAGAAGCGGTTCAAAAAGCAAAACGTCACAGTAATGATGTATGGAAACAGTTGTTTTCTGTGTCAATGGCTATACTTGGACAACGCTTAGTTAGTGCTCCAGAAGCGGCATACCGTCTCTGTCATTTGCCTATGAAAATGTGTTCAAGGAAAACAGTTTTCGTTAATAGCTGTCGTCCAGAACAACGTTATAGACTTTTGCGATTTTGTGATGACGAAACATCAGTTTTCAACAACATATTTGATCGGTACCAACAAAGACCGAATGAATTAGAGGAGATTAGCTTAGCTGAATTTGCAGTTCGTTACGAAACAGTTTCAAGTGCATTTTGGACAGATGATGACGGTGACATTGAGCTAAGAGACCAGGAAAACGAGAATTCGAGGTACATACGATTACAAGATAATTCGAGGATGCGTATCAGAAACCAAGCAGCAGTTTTACGTACACGATATTACACTATAAATAGTGATCGAGAAGCGTTCTTTTACAATTTAATTGTGTGTCATATCCCCTTTCGCATTGAGAGTGAGCTTATTCAAGAGGGCGAAACAGCTGAAGCATGTTTCTTACGCCGACAATCGGAGCTAAGGCCCCTGCTACATAATTTATCTGTAGAGCAGTTCGCCCATGCTGAACAAATTATACAACAAGCTCTTGTACAAGCAGTAGCCCTCAATGTTGTAAACGAAAATGGCCCTGGAGAAACATCTCATAATATGAATATATATGCCGAGGACCAAATTGATGTCCATAACGATGATTTTATAGAAAATGATCCCACTGCTATGCCTGATGACGTTTTCACAAGTGGAATTAGAAGTCTGAATGTCCAACAAAAAGATTTATTGAAACGGGTGTCAGATTCTATTGAGAGAGACATACGGAGAGATGACAATCAAGAGCCTTTGTTGATGTTTATTACTGGTGGAGCTGGTAGCGGTAAATCTTTTCTATTGAAATTAATTGTTGAGCATATTAACCGCTGCTATGCTCCAACGGTGGATAGTTTGTTAAGACCAAATTTTGTAGAAGTGGCGTCATTGACAGGTGTTGCGGCTCGGCAAATTTCTGGAAGAACCCTTCACTCTGTTTTTTCACTTCCCATCGAAAAAGGCACTACGATGACTTATAGAAAAATGAGTGGACAGCCCTTGGAACGGGAACGGCGTAAGTGGCGTTATATTAAATGGTTAATAATTGACGAGATATCGATGGTATCTTACGAAAATTTGCGTATAATACACTTACGTCTGCAAGAATTCAAAAACAATAATTTACTGTTTGGAGGTGTAAGTGTATTATTATTTGGCGACATTATGCAATTACCACCAGTTAAAGGGCATTGGTGTTTCGATCAACCATCATGGGCAAACGCAGAAATACATTTATGGCAGCAGTTTTCCTTCTGTGAACTCACCATCAATATGCGTCAAAGTAGCGATGAGGAATTTGTTGATTTGTTAAATAATTTGCGGTTTGGAGAACTTACATTCTCACAATTGGAACTTCTATGTGAAAGACGGCGAGTTGAACAGGTTGGTGATTTCGCAGATGGGGCTGCAGTTAGAATTTTCCCAACGATCAAATTGGTGGATGACTACAACTCTAAGATGACAGCTCAACTATTTCAGTCGAGTCGTGTCTATACCTTGCATGCTATCGACGAGTCGCGAGAGGCCGCAACCTATGGAAAACGGCCTCCATGTAACGTTATTCCTGCTGATGTTAATAATTGCGGTGGATTGTTGCACATACTAAAACTGGGCATAGGTTCCAGAGTAATGCTAAGGCGTAACATCTCAGTTACCGAGGGTCTTGTCAACGGTGCAATGGGAATTGTTTGTAAGTTTAGGTGGCCTGCTCTGCGTCGCGATCAGTTAGAATCCGGCGAGTTACCTGATGCAGTTTCTATTAAATTCGACGATGATACTATTGGTACTAGAGTGAAAGATAGTGACGGCTTAGTTGAAATTGCACCAGTATCAGCAACATTTCAAGCAACAAAAGGCTATGGGGATGTGGAAAGAAGAATGCTGCCGTTAATATTGAGCTGGGCTGTAACGGTTCATAAGCTTCAGGGTACCACATTAAATAAAGCGGTAATTGACTTAGGCAAGAAAAATTTTGCTAAAGGTCAAGTGTATGTTGCTTTAAGTCGAGTGAAGACTTTAAACGGTATTGCACTTTGTGATCTAGAACCAAGCAAATTACTTACCAGACCACATGATGAAAAGGCATTACGAGAAATGGAAAGATTAAGACAACTATTGTAAAAATATATGGATTCCTGACCACCCCAGGAGTAGATATACCCTTTTAAGCATACTCATTATTTTTGAGGAATTGTCTCGATTTCATTGATATTTGTGTTAGTTGTTAGAATTTCTCTCGATATCTCTGAAATTTCGTGATTACATCGTAACCATCTCAGGAGTAGTACCTACCCTTATAGCCCATCCAGATTCACAGCGAGACAGACCGAGAACAAACGAGAACGTGAATGTGAGGAGTTTCTCGCCGTCTCGTTCTCGCGTTCGTCTGTTCTCCGATCGGTGTCAGTATTTTTGGCCGTGACAAAGGATTTCTCGGGCGAGAAGAGAGAAGACTACTATATTCACGACTAGCTTTTGCCCGCGACTTCGTCCGCGGAGTGAGCGCAGAGAGCGAGTTGGTTTTGTTTCGGAGTTATTTATCATTGTAATCTTTAAAGTTTTTTGTTGAAATTAAGCTATGTCAAAGACAATTTTATTCACAATGAAGTACTCTTAACCAACAACATATTTATATTTATATTTGAATAAAGATTAATATTATTATGTTGATACAACTTAAACAAATTATTTCGACCAAATTTGGTACCATAAAAACGGTCATTGTGACTAAACCTTAAAAGATAGACATATGCCGTCGCGGACTTTTTTTTAGATCATGTATAGAGGAATAATTCTTTCATACATATTTTTTGTGTATCTTGAACCGTTTTCGCAGCGCACGCAAAGAAAGCCTTCAAAAATGAATAATTTTCCCCGTTTTTTACACATTTACCGCTCTGTCTTTGCTCCTATTGGTCATAGCGTAATGTTATTTAGCCTATAGCCTTCCTCGATAAATGGACTATCCAACAAAAAAAGAATTATTCAAATCGCACCAGTAGTTTCGGAGATTAGCGCGTTCAAACAAACAAACAAACAAACAAACTCTTCAGCTTTATTATATTAGTATAGATTCAGCAATTATATAGTTCATCCAAGTGCCTGCTGCAGTTTCAATTTCGTCAATGTCGTCCATATTGCATAGGAAACAGATCACGAATGAGAAAAATGAGAGTGTTAATAAATTTCTTGTTCTCGCGAGAAGGCCCGGCGAGACTTCTCGGCGAGATTTCTCGCCGTGAGTCTGGATGGAATATAAAAACCCCTCTAGACTCACAGCGAGACGTAACGAGAGACTACGCGAGAAGCGAGAAAGCGTCCAAACGCAGCGATGGTCTCACTTCGTGTTTGGCCGTGATCAATAGCGCAGAGGCTTCATTATTCATTATTGTGTGCGTTAGCATATTATAATTTTATAAATATTAAAATAAATAAAAATAAAATACCACAGAGTAGGTACATGCACATGAACACGATCTACGCGTAGTCAGTACGAGTACATGCGTTGATCTGAGTTGAGACCGAACGAGAATGTGATACGCTTCTCTTTTCTCACCCGAAACACTCTGACTCGGGCCAAAATACCGCCACCGATCCGAGAATAGGCGACCACGAGAACAAGACGGGCGAGCAATGAATCTCATTCAAGGTGCTCGCGTGTTCTCGGCGTGAATCTGGATGCGCCTTTACAAGTATCCCGTTAGCCCTACATACATTCGATCAACCAATTGCAGTACTGCTCCCAACTCCTAACCGTTGAGGAGTACTGTAGCTTCATCATCAGCACAGCAGCATCAGATGTTGATTCAAGCATACCTCACAAGCAACATGTTAGCCCTACATACTACTAAATAGTTTCCATCGACCAATTGCAGTACTGCCTTCAAACTCCTAACCGTTGAGGAGTACTGTAGCTTCATCATCAGCACAGCACCATCAGATGTTGACACCCTGAAGCATATACCTGAGTAAGATGTGATTACGTAACAAAAACACCATACGAGCATACAATTTTCGGTGATTGCCCTCGATTTCTCCTGGATCCCATCATCAGATCCTGGACTGGTGAAAATGGGACCACCTCAGAAGTAAACTCTATCCATCAAAAAAAATTTTTTTGAAATCCGTCTATAATTGACGAAAATATCGGTGAACATACATAAAAAAAAAAAAAAAAAAATATTATACATACAGACGAATTGAGAACCTCCTCCTTTTTTGAAGTCGGTTAATTAATTCCTTTGTTTCATTAATGTTCGTTCGTTATAGTACTTGTACATATTTAACTTAAAATAACTAAAGGCCCCCGGGATGGAATTTGATGCGCTTTGGCACAGATGATCTTGACTATAATACCTTTCAAACAAATGTAGTTTAAGCCGTGGCGGACGTGGGTGCAGCGTCCATACATTTTTGCCCAATGTCCTTTACACATACAGTTATGTATGTATTTAAGTATGATCCTCCGTACATAGAATGGTAAAATGATATCCCTTCCTTTTGGCTTCGTCGTCGTAAATCACAATTTAAATCGATTTCATTCCTCTCTCTACTTTTTTTCCGTAGTCGGGTTACAGATTTAAAATTTTTTGAAGTCACATCGCAAAGCCGATAAAACTTTATTCGATTATCGTGCACCTAACAATGCACCACATAATTCTAAACGTGGGATTGTGGTTGGTTTAATAGGCGCAATCCTAGCTTTAGCGCATAATAACTTCACAACAACGTGACCTTCACTATCTTGTGATCGTATGTAATCGCAAGCCGCATAGGCTCGTTGCTATGCGTCAGCAAAACAATGTAATTGCAATTCGATTGGGTTGACACTGAATACACGTCAAGAAATTTTAATTTGAAATAAAACGGAAAAATGTTTTAATAGTTTGACCCAATCTTTAATAAAGCTTTCAGGTACAGGATGGTCCAAATCTAATTTAACGCTCCACAATTTCTGAAAAAGAATTTTTGCGACTATTATGCAAGCGCTTAGAAGGCCAAGAGGATCGAACACTTCGCACGTAGCAGACAGTACCGAGCGTTTTGTTATTGCCGAGTCTAATAAATCTGCACTGAACTGCAAAGTATATGTTTGCGGAGCATAATTAAGACCTAAGACGCTTGAGTCTTTAAATAAGTCGAGACTATCCATGGTGTCCACACTGTCAAATAAATCTGGGTAGTTAGAACGAAACTTGCACAACGGCATACATGCAAAATCTAATACCTTAACCACGCCCGTTGCTAAATCAAGCAAATCTGCTACTGTGTCGCTCCCTTGTATTAAGATCATCGACATAAAAGTCATTTTCGATGACTTTAGCTATTATGCTATCCTTGCACTCGTGCGCAAATTGTTGTAAACAACGCGTACATATGAATGGAGCGGACGCCGTGCCGTAAGTAACTGTATTGAGACGCATGACATGAACCGGTTTGTTATTATCGTTACGCCATAATATTAATTGCAAATGTCGCTGTTTCGGATCAATTTCAATCTGTCGGTACATTTTCTCAATATCGCCGATAAGAATGAACTTGTGTTGCCGAAAACGAAGTAAAATTGAAATTAAATCACACTGAACTACAGGGCCAACCATTTGTATGTCATTCAGAGACTTACCGGAACTAGTTTTTGAAGAAGCGTTAAATACAACCCTTAATTTGGTCGTTTCACTTTTTTCGCGAAATACGGCGTGATGTGGTAAGTAATACTCGAATTTAGGTTTTTCGATTGGAGTTAGATGCCCTAAATCAGTGTACTCTTGTATAAACTTACGATAATTTTCTTTTAAATCTGGATACTTAGAAAATCTCTTTTCTAAACTTTGTAAACAAGATTTTGCAGTAAAGTAATTGTCCCGAAGCGCATCTTCAGGAATTTCTTTCAAAGGCATTTGTACGGAAAATCGACCGTTAGGCAAACGCGAATAAGTTTCTAAGAAATTCGATTCACATAAACGTTCCTCTACAGAATACGTTTTTGTGTCCGTAGATAAATCATCGATTTGCCAAATTTTTTTTAAATCTCACGTATGATCTGAGAAAAATTACAATGCAATTGCTTTGAATAAGGTATAGACTGATTTGTTATTGGACCGGCCACTAACTTCTTCTGAAGAACAGGGAGGTGTTTACCTAACTTGATAATATTTGGCTCGATAAGGTCCCAATATACGTCAGCACCTAATAACGCATCGATTTTAGATGGACGGAAAAAATTAGGATCTGCGAGTTTAATGTTCGGAGGTAACCTTAAATATGAGATATCTATTTGGTAATTTGGCAACATACCAGTAATTTGTGGAATTAACACTAAAACTAAAACTGTTAACTTTCGACTTTAATTCAACAACACAACGCTTAGTCACACCGCAGCTACGAGCATTAATACCAGTAATATTTACCGAATTAACTGTTTCACCAGTCAACCCTAACCTTTGTTTACACTTGTATGTCATAAACGATGACTGACTACCGGTGTCTAAAATAGCTCTCAGCGTGTGGATCTTATTATCTACGATAACGTTAATAACCGCGGTACATAATAAAACCTGATCCGTAGTCACAGCTGTGAGAGAAATAGGCAAGGATGTAGAAGGCTGAGTGTTTTCTAACAAACCGGTTTCGTCAGAATCTACATGTAGCAACGTATTGTGTTTCTCTTTGCAAAAACGACAACAACCTTATAATTTGGAAGAGAGTTCACTGCGCATGTTATAGAAGAATCGGTGTTGATGTGGCCCAAATGCATAATTATTCACGGTAGTCCTCGACGTCCTCAAACACAAGGCAACGTGGAAAGATCCAATCAAGACGTAGAAAATATGTTGCGGTGTGGAATGCAAGATAATAAGTCTACTAAATGGTCCTTAGGTTGTTTTTTTGTTCAAATCTATAAAAAAATCTCTTCTTACCATCGTATAATTGGAAGATCCCCTTACCGTGCATTGTTTGGTTCTGAGTCGAAAACTATATTGAAAGGTTGTAATATTCCAGAAAGTATTATGGCATCAATAAGAGGTGGATTTGAACTAAATAAATCAGAAAGGGAATAAGGACGAAGAATTGAACCAAATCAATGACAAAGAGAAAAAGGAGGAAGAATAGGACCAAATAAATCAAAATAATACAACAGTAGAGAACAAAAAGATAATTAATGTTGTACCGTCAGATGTCATAATAGTGAATGGATCAGTTGATGATGAGGGTTTGTCTAACATTGAAGTTATAGAGATAGATAATATGGAATTAGAGACAACTGATGGTGCTGTGTGTCTCGTCTGTGGTAAAGACACATCTTTTCTGTAGGTTGTGTTCCAAACCTATGCTATTTGAGGCGTTGCTTGTGGAGAAGAAGGTTATGGGTCTCAAGTTCAATGTTTTCATTGCCAAAAGGAACAGTTGATTGTTAATGAAAGAGATCAAGCACATAGCGGTGTTAAACACGCTGCAGAGAAAATGGTCGATAGCACCACCAAGAAACTTCCTTTGTTAGAAATTGGAAATTCAGTGTGTTTAAATGTTCCAAAAATTTACCGTGGACCTCTAGACACCAAAAATATTGCTGGAAAGGTAATTGAGTTTAGGAACGGGGTATACAAAATCGGAACGGGTTCCGGGACAGTTAAAAAATTGTTTTCTCGGCAGGACCTACAGGTGTCGTCTAAAGATTATTGCGAAGTTATATCAGAATTGCTAATATTATTGAGGGAAGCTGTAAATTTCCAATCTTTATTTGGAGGTCAAGGCTTTAAAAAATGCTTTTGCAAGCCTGCAAAAAATTAATGCCGTACAAAGAGATGCACATGTTTCAAGAACAAAACACTTTGTACTTCAAAGTGTCACCAAAGTTTGTTATGCGCCAACAAATGACTCAAAGGGGATAAGACTGACTTTTTAAATTATATATTACTATTTGTAATATGTACTAAAGTATTAACTTATTTTTAAATATTTGTAAGCTTTTTAAATACTATAATAATAAACTACAAACACGTTAATAAATTAAAATTTAGTGTAACTTCTAGACGTGTTTGAAGTTTAATTTAGAAAAAATGTTTAATTTTGTTACAAAAATTTTATTAAATTTGTAACATACTTTGGATTTTTTTTTATTTATGGATACCCAATTTATACGATCCGGCCAAATGTGGATGGCAATATCGTTAAACGTTAACGATGTAATGATCTGGTCAAATTAAGTTGGCCACATGATGAAATGTGACCATTTCATGAAATTCTCGAGCATTTCATGAAGTGGGCAAATCTATGATATGGCTACGACATACACACTACGAAACTAAGTTTACTCCTTATGAACTTCCCTAAATTCGTTAAAATGCTTCAACATCGCCTCAAATACCCCGAGAGAAAGCATGGGAAAATATAAACGCTTCCAAAGAAAGATCAAAATCCTACTATGGTAAGCACTTCCGCGTGATGCAGTATAGGTAGGCGACTATGTTTATTTAAAGAACCATGTAAGGCTGCGTAAAGCTCTCTCACCACTGTGGAAGGGCCCTTGCAAAGTGGTTAAAATTCATGGTAATAATACGTTATCCCTATTAATAAACCGGCGCCATATCAAACATCATTAGAGAACTAGAACATCTCTCCGAGAAAAAATTAAAGAGATCAGGATTTTAACTGTTGCTTCACAATTCATTTATAATTCTTGACGCAAGATATTCAAAGACGCGCGCCTAGTTTGAACAGGCGGCGGAAACACCGCGTCCTGAAATTTTTCGCGCGACAGATTCAAACGTCATCTCCGGATTGGACGAAACGAGCGACATCGAGTCAACTCGGCCCCCCGCTACGTGTGTGGCGTCACCTGCGTCGCTTGAGCCATGAGCAGGAGTCAAGTAAATTTGAAGCGTCCATTTTGTGTGCTGTGAAGCCACGTATTCTTTGGAACGATACTAAGTCTGATTATTATTAGAAATTATCTCATTTTTAGTGGTTAAAAGTGCATTGTATGGGCAAAATGGCAGATACGAGGGTGGGAATATAAATAACTAGCCTCTGCTATTTAAAAAGTTCAAATTTAAAAAATATGTATGTCATTTTTAAATTCGTATCTCTGGCCACCTGTGTTCTAAATTTGAATTTGGTGGCGCGAAATTTTTATTGATTTTTTGTCATTTGAAAATATATTTCGACAACTGTTTTCAAAATGGATGAAATTGAACAAAGAGCGGTGATGAAGTTTTTTCATATGAAGGCCATGTCGGGGAAAGATATCTATAACGAGTTAAAGAATGTTTTGGGTGAATGTGCTCCTTCTTATGCCACAGTAAAAAACTGGGTGGCTCAGTTTAAACGCGGTCGTACATGTGTCCAAGATGCAGCCCGCCCCTGACGTCCAAAAAGCGTCACGACTCCGGAAATGGTCGTGAAAGTACATGATATGGTTTTAGCAGATCGACGATTCAAGTTATCTGAAATAGCTAACACTACAGGTATCTCAAAAGAACGGGTACATCATATCCTAAGTGAGGAATTAAATATGAAAAAGTTATCGGCCCGTTGGGTGCCGCGATTGCTTACGCACGATCAAAAAAGGATTCGGGTGCAAAACTCAAAAGAATGTCTGGACCGTTTTCAGAGTAATAAGGTCGATTTGTAACAACAGATCGACACCAGCAAATTAGACTACGCTAACATGAAATTTCCACTTTTTTACACCATATTTCTTAAGACATGGAGTAGAAACTACTACACAAAAATCAAGAAATTCTAAAAAATAACAAAGTTACAAATTACAGAGAACGCTAAGTAAATGTACTTTTTAAAATCACCCGACATAGACTACGCTAACCCTGGTTGGAAGCGTGTCCGAGGGACGCGAGGGCGCTTGTTAGTTTAAACTAATCTATCGTCTACTTGTCGCCGTGTTGTCAGGAATCCCGCCATAAGTGTCCTTAAATTAAATATTCTTGTTTACGGGATTGCTGCTGATCCATTAATAAATGTATTATTGAGTGTAATAATCATAAAAACAATAATGTCACGGCAACGAGCTCATTATTTAGTGGAATTAAGCAAAAACAGTAATTGCCAATTGACGACTCGGGAGGAAATACTG